ATTAATGTGGCTTTTTGCACATACTGTTACTTATCAAATAACAAGTTATAATTATGACAACTTTGGGTATATTTTTAATTTATTGAAACACTGTGGTAGCTTTTTGTTTTAGGTTCTATATTTATCATTTTCAACAGGACAATGTTTTTGTGATGCACATAAAACTTTTAGCTTATAAGTTTACAGGTTAATAGACCTCTTTAGCTTCTCATGCATATTGCCCATTTCAGATCACATAACATTCCCTTGAGAATTGTTCTTTTATAACAAACATGCCAAAATATTTACACATGAAAGAATCAACTTCCAAGAGTGGCATCACATGGTCTGAAATGTGCACAACAAACAAGAAAGCTAAAGAGGTCTATAGACCCTTTTAGCTTGGTCAAACCATGTGTCATGCCCCTGAGTACCATTTCTTTGTTTAAGGGTTGCACATGAAAAGACATGTGAATATGGATACAATTCAAACAGAAAATCTTATTCTTAAGGGAATAACATATGGTCTGAAATGTGAAAACATTCAGCGCCCACTCTCAAGGATCGAGTCAAGTGTTTTAAATGGGAACACCAAGACCTAAGGTGACTTAAAACATGAACAAACTGTATTTGTATTTCAGGTCGCTGCAGTTTTCAAGTCCATTGCTGAACCAGACATGTATCCTTCTATTGTCACACGAGATTCAAACCTACTTGTAAATAGAAACTACCCTGTGGTCATGGCAATGCCAAGTTCTCTCCTTAGTTACAATCTGGATGTCCTCAGACATGTTAGAGTTGTTATAGCAGATGAAGCAGATTTTCTGATCACGAGTGGGGGGAAAGATGTTTGGAAATTACTAAACTTTTTCAAATATGGAAAACATTTGAAGAAAAAATCTAAGTATGGTTCAAAATTCAACCAAAAAAGTATCCTTCGAAGTGATAAAAGAACTGATAATAAGGGAATCCCTGACACAACTGTTTCTGCTCAAAGACAGTTTCTTTTTGTAGCAGCAACTCTGCCCTCAAGGGGGAAGAAGGCAAGTCTCAATGTCTTGACAAAATGGCTTTATGAACCTGAGGTTGTGACGACGTCAATAGTTCATCAAACATTACCCACATTAGACATGGAATATGTTAGAGTAACTGAAGATACAAAACTAAAAGAATTGCTGAGAGTTTTAAATAAGTTGGTCTGCTTGGAATATGAAAATGATACTATAAATGCAAAGAAGAATTCAGAAATTCTAAGTGGAGAAAACTTGCATAGTGGAAATGAAAAAATTGAATGTGATAAAACAAGCAAAAACACTGATGGCAATCGAAAGGCTCTTCGAGTTTTGGTTTTCACAAACACTGCCCAACAGGCAAATAAAGTATTTGAATTTCTTTCCAACTCAGAGGATCAGTTATCCATTCAACAGAAATCCTTCATCGTCAATCAAAATAACAGTACCCAATTGAACAAAGGGACTTTGATTGACAACTATTGGCAGGACAAATGTGCAGAGCTACATAAAGATGTTGCGGTTGAAAAGAGGTTGGACTCCTTGGAGCGTTTCAAGTCTGGGGAACTGAAGGTTCTTGTCTGTACTGATATAGCCTCACGTGGATTGGATATCCCGGATGTCAGTCACGTGATTCAGCTCGATTTTGCTTCCAATGCTGCGTATGTCCTTCACAGGGCGGGGAGAACAGCCCGTGCTGGAGCGCATGGAAAAGGTATTGACAGTTAGTTAATAGAAGGTGAATGGTTAGAAACAACCAGTCCGTCTCTCAATCAATCAGCCAGTCTTTCACTCCGTTTGAGTTTCCCTTTTTATTCGCTTGTCGTATTCAACACTCCAACGTAATCCCAACTACAGTCAACTCTCGTTACAGCGGACACCCTTGGGACCGCCACTTGGTATCAGTAATACCGAGTGTCCGCAATAACGAGAATTAATTACGGTCATTTTTTGTCAGTATTTTTCGCCAGTCCCTAAGTGCTTACTATCAATCACGTAACATTTTGGATTTGACTGGAGGCAATTATTATACAATTAGCAAGTTTTAAGTCAAAAATGTCAAAATAAGTATCAAAGTATTGTATCTGACTATTTCTACTGTCTGTGACCAGAAATCAAGATATATGCACATACAACCCTCAAGATTCTCCAGGCTTTAGTCAAAACACAAATATTACCGGAGGCGACGTCTATTTATGGTAACCTATAGCGAGGTGTCCATAACAGGGTGTCCGAAGGCGAGAGTTGACTGTAATATCGGCTAGTCGTTATCAGCCAGTCAGTCAGTCATTCCTTTAGTGTCCTTTCTTTTGTTGTTGTTGTAATCATCAACTCCGTATTCTTAACATCAATATTTTTTAAATTGTTTTTTCTAGTGATCAACTTCATTACAACAAAAGACGAAGATTTAGCGAGAGCAATCCAAGCATGTGATGACGACCCAGATACTGACTACGACTCTACGTTTAGCCGAAATCGAATGTTCAGACGAAGAATCAAAAGAAATGTGCTGCCTTTGGCTGATTTTATTGAATATACTTCAAATTAGAAGCCTCGCTTACCAGTGATGATAGAAATAAATTATGATAAAATAATTATTATTGCAGTCTTTCATTTTGTTTTCTCAACATGTGGTTTTTCCGGGGTACACTTATTTCAAAAAGGTTGTCAGAGCCAAAGGAGATAGGCTTTAGGTGATGCATTCTCTTTTGAAATAGGGAATAGAGACCTTTCATCTTTTATTGTGTGAAGGTAGCCTGCATAGTGGCCCAAATGGGGAGGGGAGGGGAAAGGGGTGGGGGGCATCCTTCACAGGCCCCCATCCCTCCCCCCCTCCCCTCCCCTCGCCATTTGGGCCGCTACGTAGGCTAGTGTGGAGGGGGAGGTATGGGTCAGAAAATGGGGGCCTTGAAATTTTAGTAACCATGCAAAGTGGGGTCTAATCGATGTTTCATATAGGGGGGGCCTTCAAAGTGTTTTAAATAAACAGGGGTATACTTTACCAGCAGTGCAGAAAAGGCGGCCTGTCCCTTCATGGCTTGCTTCTTGATTGATTTGGCGGGAAAGTTGGTGCTTAAAGGGGGATCGAAAGTGTTTTGTGCCTTCACATTATGAACTAAAAAAAATTATGGCTATAGTATGACAGCAAGTAAATCCGGAAAGCCAAAGACTATAAACCAAAGATCACAATGAACATGAAAAAATGACGTAAGGTGTTGCTATGACAACATCAGAACCCTTCTTATGCCATCAAATATGTTTATTCAAAAAATCATGACTCAGGAACCAAATGGTGAAATTTTTTAAAAACCGGAATATTTCAACGTTGTATCGTAATCTTCTCTTTGACAAAAAAAAAAAGAAAAAAATCTTTAAGAGGGAACTATTCCAAACAATTTTTATTGATTTTTACGAATTCTCTCTCTAACAGAATTTTTTCTTTTTTTTTTCTTTTGTTGAAATATTCCGGTTTTTAAAAAATTTCACCATTTGGTTCCAATCGAATAATCAAGGCAAATTATATCGTTGCTTTTCAATCGTGTACTTAAAACCTCCCTCGTCTCACATGGGCATGGCGATGATTCTTTTTGGCCAAGAGTCAAGTGTATATCATGATTCACAATCTGCAACCTCAGTTACTTAAAATTTCATCTTACTAATCAGATTGGTCTTTAAAATTAATCTTTTTTGATTTTATCGAAGATAACCAGGACCATACTTCCAGACATCGAATGCTGAACCGTCGTATGGACTTACGGCTACGCTGGAGATTTCTGCCCCAACACCGCTATCCCGGGGGGAATTACAAACTGATCAGGAAGCTCGGCCGAAGCCTAAGGGAGAGGTTAGTCGGCCCCTAGACCGTAAGTGATTAACCCCTTGCTATGACCAGCAGACCCAGCATATCGATTGTACCGCTAATGACTAGGTACCCATGGTCGATCCTTTCCATGTGGGATGCGTTTTGAAAAAGCAGTGACGTAATTTACATTCAAAATTTGGGTTAAAAACCAAACATGGCCTCATGTTTTTATGTCTTTTAAGACACTTTTATGTGACTCTTGGCCAATAAGAATCATCGCCATACCCATGTCAGACGAGGAAGGTTTTAAGTACACGATTGAAATGCAACGATATAATTTGCCTTGATCATGTTCGATTGGATGGGGTATTCGCCGAAATGTGATCGAGAAATATTTTGCAGTGGACCCGACAAGGTCTGCCAGACCAGAGCTAGCCGGCCTTGCAACTGTTGAGAGCTGCCGAGGGGATTGTGTTATCGTATAACGATGAATCTAAGCTTGTTCGTCCTTACTCGGACTTTTGCAGTGAGTTACAAAAGAGATAAACAAGCAAAAACAGTTAAAGTATCATTTATTGAATGCCTTATGTCTCTTCTCCAAGGGCAGATTCAGCTAAAATTTTAGGGGGGGGGGCTAATTGAGTTTCTTCCGCCAACTCAACGGAAAACAATAAAAAAGCATCTAATTCTTCAGTTTTTTGTTGTTTTTTTTTGTTTGTTTTTCTTTTTGTTTGTTTGCTTGTTGTTTTTTTTAACTGCAGAAGCCCCCCCAGATCCGCCCTTGCTTCTCCTCTCCTCTATTCATTCCCTTCCCATTACTCCTTCGACAAGAGCCTGCAGTTAGTTTGACCAGCGTCGCCCAGTAGTTCCCAATACCCCACGGTTGTTTTGGTTTGTGTTGTTTTTGCATCAAAACTTGAAAAAGAAAGAATAAAATTTGTAGATATTCATAAGGTTTTGACCACGATCATGAACATCTTGCACCACAAAAGGTAAGTTGAAACCATATTCGTGAAGCATGCCTTCTAGGATTTAGATATCTTGGCGCAAATTTCAGCATATCAAGATTTAAATTTACTACTAGTATCGCTGAGCTTAACTTTGAACTAATTTTTTTTCTCAAATTCTTTTATCTGTTTTTAGTTGGCATGTTCGAAATAAAGACAATATTGAACGTGTAAGAAAGGATGAGGAAAATGCCAGGCTTGAAGAAGAAAAGAAAGCTAAAAGAGCCGCCTTAGCTGTCAGTATATGATATTTATTTTATTATTATTTCTATAAGTTTACATCAAATAATACTGTATTTCCTATATTTCTGTAATTTTGGTTTTACCACTCTTCATTGCTTTGGCTGATCGAGAAAACATCCATGTAACACAACCCTGTACCTTTTTTTATCAGATTTTTCTGTTAAAGCACCTGGAATCAGCTGGGTACCAGTGAAGGGAGAGCTTGTAGCAAAATGATTTTTTTTTTWATTTAGAATTAATATATTCCCTAGCTCCCAACCCTCTTGTCCATGAATTGTGAATAAAATTGTGATTTTTTCCCCCATCTTATATTCCCATATTATTTATATTGTATATCACTAGATTTTTATTATTATATAGTTTAATTTAATGTATTTAACATATTCCTAATTCTTAGTTTGCACATGACGTCATAGTCGCCATGTTGGATAGATATTGTCAATGAATTCTTTCGTTGTATCATTCAACATGACCACCATGTCTTTTGTTATTTCACTCCCTTGGGAATGATTGAAAGCCAGCAATAGAAGGTCCAGCGTTAGACTTTTTAAACCTCCTTTAAATAAAGTGCAATATTATTACTTCAATCTTATTAGCTCATACTTTCTTCTCCATATTATTTTATTCGGCTTTCTAACCAGGATCAAGAGGCAAGAACAGCTCTACTGCGTGACAGAGCAAAGGGCAGCAAAAGTAAAGAGCTGACCAATGACAGCAAGTCTTCATCATCACCAGGCTTAGACTTGGCACCCGTATCAATATCAGACCAACAGAAACATATAAACTTCTTTGAAGACATTGAAGAAGGAGTAAGTTGTTTATTGTTTTAAAAAATCTTCACATAAAACAGCCTCTGGGCTGACCCAAGTCAAAGAACAGCTAACTCACCGATCAAATTGGAATTTAGCAAGTTGTATATGACATTAGTACAACAGAGCATCCTCGGAACTGTAGGGGAGTTACATGGATTAAAAATATAGTGGACTGGTCTGCATAAAATAAAAGATGGGATTCTGAAACTTGAATGTTAATAAAAATAATGATAATTGATAATAATAATAATAGTAATAATAATAATGAGTAGCTCTTATGTAGTACATTATACATGTATCTCATCTGGATATGCATCACAATATTTTTACAGGCTGTGCAGCTTACAATCATGAGATACTAGGTAGTAGATCATATTACATACTGTACTAGCCATTCTCATACCCAGACCCTTCTCACCAAAAATTGAAGAAGCTGAAATGACCCCCAAGCCCCTCTTTGCGCTTGCGCCCTTGATATCAACTTCCAGGTACTACTCCCACAACCATTTTTTTAGTTTAAACATCATCTGTCTTTTTTTTAATCCTAAGCTAAGACAAGGAAACAACCCAGAATACGAAGCAGAGAAAAAGGCAGAACAGGAAAAACAAGAGAAAGCTATTGGATTACTGACATACCTTGGACAGAGTGCCAGCGAAAAACATTGTAAGTAGCTAGAGCAGTTTTCGTATGATTGTGAAAAAGTCATACTGTATGCGTGCCTTGCCGTGACCGTGATGTTTTCTAGACTTTTGATCGGGGGTATTTTTTTCCTGTGCTTCAAGGGTTTTTCTCCATCCATAAAAATCAACTTCTTGTATATCATCGTGTACGGAAATTGTCAGGGGAATTCTATTCAAATTGAAATTTCGAGTAATCAGCTAGTAGTCGTACCCTACAATAGTATGAAATAAACTATAATAAATATTTATGTGCACATACTGATGATACATCGTTTAAATATGGCTAAAAAATGAGACCACCCAACCGAATTCGCTTCGTGGTCTAGGGGTTAGGTTTAGGGTTAGGGTTAGGGTTGGCATTGTAGTAGTTGTTTGGTGCCAAAGGTACCGAGTTTGATTCTTGGTGTCTTCACTTAATTTTTTTTCTAAGTGAGGAGAACCAAAATTTCTAAGTCCCACTTGCGTGTTCGGAAACCTATGACGTACTTCGTTAATCCGTATTCAATGATAGTACCCACTTAAATAGCTAAAATATTTTTAAATCTAGCTAGTTAATTTCTTTGGCTTTTATAGGAATGGTACAGGTTTCCCTGGTCATAACTTTACATTAGTCTTGTTGTCTGGTACTTGAGCAAAGTGCAGGAGAGGATAATTCATTCCTCTTGGGTACTAATCTGAACACAGCTAAATTCTTAAGTTCAAGCTAGGTTGGGACCTTGTGCTCAAGAACCACAGGGGGATCCAGGGGGTGTGCTGGGGTGCACTGGACACCCCCTGATGCAGTATTACTCTTACTCTTTTTTAAGCATATCATCTCTACATAAATACATTTTCTTCATTTGGGAAACCCTTCCTAACATTTTCCTGGATCCACCCTTGTACCAAGTGTCCAGACACCATCTTACTTAGTTTTGTCTCAGTCAATCAATCAATGCTTTGGACTTTGGAAAGAGTGTTGGCCAGTGAAACATCTTAAATAAATTTCCCTTGTAATATGCATGATACATACAGTAAAGATGAGGTTTGCATCAACTTGACTTTGAATTATTCCTTTGTCTTTAGCTGACAAACCTTGGTATATAAAGAAAGATCACCAGAAGAAAGCCACAGATAACGATAAGTAAGAAAATATGTTGTATATTAAATTTTCAACCAGCGCTCATCATAAGGGATATAAGCTTCTTTGAGGCTCACCCCACATGCACTACCACTCCAGCTGATCTAAAACTGTGACGTAGAAATGACATCACTGCAAAACTGAGGTGTCCTGGCCTGTGAAAATTGACTGGCGAAAAATAAAAACCTGTCCACCATTGCAATAAAAAATAGACTCATTAGTTATTGTGTTACTGTCATTGTTACAACGAATCTTCCCACGGCTCGCAGTTACCCATAGGCCTGCGAGGTGCTAGAGCTCTCGCGGCATAAGCAAACAACTTTCGGTCGATCACACGTTTATGGTCAGTTAATCTCTTCAGTTCTTTTCCTGGTATTATCTTCACCTTAGGATCATAACCATCAGGTAATATCAACCTAGTAATTTAAGTTAAGATTTGAGTATACCTTTTTCATAGTTACACTGTTATTTTTCTTAGAAACCTTCATCTCAAATAAATCTCCAAGATATCAAACCATCTATCCGAAACTGCTTATTCCTGCAACAAGTTTAACCAAAATTGTTGAAATTAAACATAAAAGATAAAGAAGTGTTTCTCTGGTTATTCATTACAGTCAACAACCTCTTACTAGCAACGTTTTTTTTTTTTCATTTGGTGGCCTTTCAAGAGGAAAAGTGATACCTCAGTTTTACAAATTTTCTTGTTTCTGATTGGCTAACATTTTTCCTCAGATCAGCTGGCTACATTTACTAATTTTCAATGAGTACTCAGATTTTTATAAGCTGTATATTATAGACAAATATCAAATATTATTTCTGTTATTTAGTTCCAGAGATATGAAAAGAAAAGATGCTCTTGATCCCTTGAACAAAATGAAAAAATACCTTGAAGCTCATGAAAAACACAAACATAAGAAGCACAAGAAAGAACATAAACACTCTAAGAGCAGAAAAGAAAAGGTAGGAAGAGTTGAGCGAAGATGACTTTTTCTTATACTAAATCTGGTGTCATATGCATGGAGTGGTAAATGTATGAAGTAGTGTATGACTTCAGTTCTCTGGTTTTTCTTAAAATACTGTTAACATGTATAATGATAGTTCTAAAAAAAAAAATCTACTCTTATCCATAAAAAGAGGAATGAATATGGTAGCATGGTTGGCATGCACTGCTAACACCAAGGGCGGATCCAGGGGGGTAAAGGGGGCTGAAGCCCCCCCCTTCATCAGAAAAAAACGATGCTTTTTTATATGGTTTTCCGTTGTGTTGATGGAAGAAACTCAATTAGCCCCCCCCTGGATCCGCCCTTGAATGCATCGTCTTTCACCACTGTTGCACCAAAGGTCACTGATTCAAGCCCTGTGGACACCATATGTGATTGAGTTTGTTTGATGTCTTGTTCTAAAATATAAATTAACAGAACATTGAATGCATTGGTAGTGTGTGTGTGAGTGAAAAGTGTCTCCAATGAGTACGAAAGCACCAGAACGACTAGACACTCAAATAAAGATTTTTTTATAGCTATAAAACGAAAGGTTTGTGCTGGTTTTGTTGTATTTTGCATGTTGAGTACTAAGATTGAAAAAAATTGTATTGTGGTTCATATGTAAATAATGTCAGCAGACAAGAAAATATGACTAAGAACTTGCAGGCAAAGTTTGGGGAAATTCCATAAATTGTTGTGATCTTTTGCTCATTACATTTACATGCCCATAGTGCATTACGGGCTCGGCATGCATCATACAACATGTTGCTGTAGATATCCTGTACTGGGCCCAGTTGTACGAAGGTTGAATAGCACTATCCAATGGTTTAATATTATCCACTGGATAAATTTATTGGATATCTGCTTATCCACTGGATAAGGATTTATCTGTTGGATAGCACTATTCACCCTTCATACGACCCCACCTAGGTGTAGTAAGAGTCCCAGAGTGGTTGGGAATTTGTGACAATATATTTTTTATAGGGTAGGGTAGTTAGCCCTGTGGCCAACTCTTTGTTTAGTCTGTACCCTTCAACACATGTTCAAAATGGGTGACCCTACCAGTCATACAATAGTCCCCTTAACAGTTTTCTGCTCCATCTTGAAAGGTAGCCGTGCCTCTGCATCGAAGTGAGACGAACAGTGAGCTTGCAATGATAGAGACCTGTGAATAATTGTCCAAGGTTTTAAAAAAAGGTCTCTAACATTACAAGCTCACTGTTTGTCTCGCTTCAATGCAAAGCCACGGCTACCTTTCAAGATGGCGCAGGGAACTGTGAAGGGGTCTATTCTCCAACCGACTAGCTCTAGGGGTCATAAGGACACACATTGCCCAGCCATGTCAAGGTGACGATCTCTGTGGAGCAGTCTATGTCCCTCTTGGAAATTCCTTCCCTATATATATTTTAACCTCTTTCCTCTTCCCCTGCTTTGTGATACTCAATCATTGCCCTTCAATCACATCTGTTGTCTTCCATGAACATAGAGAAGAGAAGAGACATCTCCAAGAAAGAAAAGTGTACAAGAACTCAGAGCAGAGCGGTTAAAAAGAGAGCAATCTGAACGAATAAGAGAAAGTGAGCTTCGTTCTTCATCAAAAGGAGAGAAAAAAGCGCCAGAACCTTTGGAAGACAACCCATACAGGTAAGTGCTTTCATATTATAGATCCCTTCTATATCAATTCATCTGATTCCTCTGAAAATAGTTCACTATATACACCTATTTCAGAAATCGTTGTCACACCAAAGGCCTCAAGCAACAAGCCAAGATCGCAGAGAACGCCGGCACTTTTAGCTATAACATTTGAGGCTCTTGGTGCGACAACGATCTTTGAAAAGGGTTTATAACGTTACCCTACTATGCCCGGCAAAAGGTTCAAAACTTTCATTCTGCATATCTGTACTTTTACAATGCCGTCAATTTGGGACTTTTTTAAACAAATAAATAAATAGATAGATAGATGAATAAATAGATCAATAAATGAGTGAATGAATAAATAGATAAATAAATGAATAAATAATAAATAGGATTTAGCAGTAGCATTTCCACAGAGTGGCTCTTCATCCACTGTAATTCCAATTGGAATTTAGAAGTTGGTTTTTGCGGAGGGAGGAAAACCAGTAAACCCGGAAAACCCTCGAAGCACAGGAGAGAACCAACAAACAACTCTTCACAATCGTCATATAATGAAGGACTTGAGGTTAGGAACCTGCGAAAGCTCAACCAACGTAGGGAAGAACATTGTCATAAACTTTACAACAATATACTGATCCAAAAAGACAACAAGCTAAAAGACCTCATACCTGAGCCCAAACTACACTGATATAGTCTACGTAATCCACGTAAATTTGACTTGATAAAATGCAGGAAGGAAAGATTTAAATGTAGTTTCATTAAGCTTGTGGGACAATCGAGGTACTTAGGCCCCGTCCACACGTATCCGGAAATTTTTGTATCCACTATTTATTTTTTGCGGATACGAAAATGTTTGCGTCCACACGCAGCGTTTTCACCGTCCACACGTATCCGTTTTCGTAAAATTTGCGGATACGGATACAAAAATTTGCGGACATGTGTGCTGTGGACGCAACCCGTATCCGTAAAAAAATATTTGCGGATACAAAAATTTCCGGATACGTGTGGACGGGGCCTAAAACTTCTACAATTCTTCAATAAATACAATATATACAGACTGCGTTAGCAGGCCTACGACCTATGCGATTTATCCCAAACTTACCGTCATCAGAAGTGACTTGCAACTTAGCATATTTACAATTGGCTAGCATATGAAAAGTCACTGGCGTTAGGTCTTCAGAGGACCTTGTGTAGGGCTCCATCGAAAACAAAGACAATTACAAAAATTTCCGGATACGTGTAGACGGGGCCTTATGCCCTTATTATAATTTTAAGATTTTCAAACTTTTATCTGTTTGCCATTTGATATCAATATAGTATTATTACTATTATTATTCTCACATACGACACCGAGCACGGAGGGAATCGAACCCGGGTCGCACTGATGACAGGCGAGTGCTCACGCTGCTACGCCACCCGTGCTTTTTTAAAGTGCCTAATAACGCCTAATGAGTTGGTCGCGTAGCTTCCCGTGTGACTGGGAATCTAATTTTTTCAAGATTTCCAAAACGTTTGACTCAAATTCAAATGAGTTAGGTTTCCTGAAAAAATAAAGTCTAAAGCTTCCGTTTTGTTTTTTTTCTTTTCTTTTCTTTTTCTTCGAAGACGCGCTTACCAGCATTTGATTGTAAATCAGTACGTATCTCAAAAATGATCTATGGACATTCCTTTTAGATTCTAAATTAGCATTACTAAGTTACAGTACCGGGTTTCAAAAAGAATTCGTAGGTTTCAGTTCAATAGAAAGCAGTCTCTTTAAACACTAGAATTAAATAGTCTTATTGCAGAAGGAAAACAACGATTCGTCGGGGCATTAGATTGAATGGCGGACGTCTTGAATTTCATTGTTTTGAGACCTGAGATGCGAACAAGATGTCAGGATGTCTTTTAATATAACTTGACGCTTTTCAAAAAGAAGCAAATCTAAAAAACTAATTGAATTTGCTGGTAGGTGACACCAATATTCAAGATGGCCGCCGTAACAGTTGAAAAAGGTCTATTGTTCTATTGTTCTCACAGAAGAATGATGCTATTTTTGAAGCAGGTGTCTTTTCAGGGTTCGCATATACTGCTCCTGGAATTCCACCTTCCTGGAAAATCGAAAATTAAAAATTGTAAAATTTCCTGGATTTCGTGAACAGGTTTTGGAACCAGTTTTAAAAGGGTATGCGCTGGCAAAAAAATGGACAAATTTTCTTCTGCGTGTTTATGAAAGACTAACACCTCGCTTTGAACAAGGCCTTAATTGCGCATTTATACAGACGCTTTGATCTTACTTCCTTGGCGATAAAAACGAGCATTGATTTTGAAAGTTATGTAACTTGGGTGAGATGGAATATATTTGTCTTAAAGCGTGTTGTTATATGATTTTGGTTCGTACACTGACTGACCAGGGTCAAAACCACCGACGGCTTGTGCTGGGGAAAGTTGTGAAACTTGCTCTCTAAGTTTGATAGGTTTCCTAATTCCTAACATCTTTGAGCTGAATTAACCGATGATGAATGATACCAGCAAGCTTTCTTCGCCCAAGGAATACGTGTTTATGCCCTACGATGTTTTTATTACCAAACTAGTTATTTATTCCTTGGTTGGTGTTCTCTGTGTCTACGCTGTTGTGGCCAATGCCTTTATCCTTAACGTCAAGGCAAAGCTACGAACCAAGCGAAAAAGGAACGTTCACAACCGAAGACCTTTCGATCGATTCCCAGTGGTCAGTATGTTTATTCAAAGTCTAGCGCTCTCGGATTTCTTTTGTGGTCTGATTACTCTACCAGTCGCCATCATAGTGAACTTTGTTGATGTTATAACCAGTGACATGATCTGCAAGATCGTCCGCTTTTGCAACATCTTCTTTCCAGTGGTAACTATAAACAATCTCTTTGTCATCGGAATAGAAAGATATTTGGCAGTATTTTATCCTTTACTCGTCCCATCCAGTCGTTCAATCAAGGGACTTGTCTTAGGGGCGTGGATTTTCGGGGGAATTTCAACATTTGTTGGCTCTGCCACTTATAGCCTAGAAATTCGAGATATCGGCCCCACCACATACACCAGGACTTGCGTGTATAACAAAAATGTTCTCGAATACAAGGCAATGTTTATATCGTTTACAGTCATTGTCTATCTCATCCCAAGTATCATTTTAACCTTTACTAGCCTTCGTTTAGTTAGTTTCTTACGACAGAAAAGAAAGACAACGACAAACTGTAAAGTTAATTCGTGGAGATTTTATGGGACAAGTACTTTTGTGATTCTTATATTCAGTTTTGTCATTCCGTATTTATTATATGTGGTATATTCTGGGATAAGCATGATTTTGAAATTCGACTTCACTTTCACGACGGAGATCATTATAAGGAGAGTCGGCGCATTGCTTGCTTACTCTAACTCCGCAGTAAGCCCCACTGCCATGCTTTTTAGTATGCCTGATCTACGAAAAGCCTTCAGAAGATTCATTAGGCGGCATTTTAGACTAAAGCTCTCGCGTATAAGCTCTAATGTGAACTCAAACAATCCCCAATTGTGTAGTAGCGGATCTAGCACCATATCGTCGAACATAAATGCACTAGGCCATTCTAATCCATTTATAATCCATTTATAAGGGCAGCACATATCCGCCCCAATATTCATAGTCAACTTGAATATGTAAATGATGTCCCCCAAAGAAATTGTTAATATGTATTCCCACGGACTTTATACTAATACAAAAGGAAAGGACGCCATGAATTAATCACTCTCATTAAACCACCGACGAAGAAGTGTACGTTTTTTGACCCACCCACCCGCCCACGAGCAAGCCGGGTTGATCCACATTCTGTCCCATTTATTGCTCTCCGGCCAGGATTTGTTCCAGG